TATTGCTCCGGTTACGAAATGTTGCTGCCATGTTGGTTTTATCGATAGAGTATGGTTCTATCATTGGTAACCTAATCAACATGTAATTTGTGGTGAGGGTAGGTTATTCATTGTGGCCTAGAGAAAAGCTATATCCAAGAAATGCTTGGCTTTTCAAAACTAGAATGTGCCATTTATATTCTAAGTGAGTCATCCCTGTAAAGTATAATTTTTTGTTCATTTAGAGATGGCAATCTTTAAGTCCTTAAATTTAAGTAAAGTGCGTCATGGCTTTCTATCATTTCTACAAAAGATAAATTGTTTTTAAGGTATTTATTATATCAAATGGCAGGCATTTCGATAGTTTCATTAGCCATTTATGTGACTTTAGGCCTCACAGGAGAAGAAATATCAAAGTGAAAGAAATTCGAGAGGGGGGAACTGAAGAGTGTTTCAAATGTGTAAAATAGACAAACACAAAGGTAGAAAAAATGTGAGATGAGTGCTGTGGAAGTGGTGGAATATGACACAGTGGGGCAATGGTAGTTTGAAGTCAGTAGTCAACTGCCGGTTTATAGACTTTTTTGCCATGTGGGTATACTTGCCCAGGATGCACCACGTTGAGGTAAGTCTATCGCATACCCCAATTAATGTATATTCTGTTTAAATCCAACATTGGAGATTATTATAAATTGTCAATTGTTTAACTTTTTGCATTTTGAGCATTGGATTTTATTTTTATCATTTAGCGAGTAATCTGGGTGTGTCAAACCTGGGGTCTATACCTCAACATCAACCTCAGATGGCCAGTGGTATGCCAAATCTTTGGTACAACCAAGCTCCAGGAGGTAGTTCTAGCAGCAACAACAGTAAAAACCTCCTTGCCATGCTCCAACAAACATTGCAACAGTCTCTCCCTCTTCAACGCCCTCAGCAGCAACCTCTTTCACAAACTTTAGGAGATCAACAAATCCCCTCCTCCACGACCTCTCAAGTAGCTCCCTCTTCCACCTCTGGTCAACAAAGGGTCACCCAACAGCATCAGAGGAGTCCATCGTCCTAGCCTACTTTTTGTCGAGCTCTGTCACCATATCCGTTCTCTCTTTTACGATTAATACGTATCTACACTCTTCGAACTCTTGTTCTCTTTGTTTCCAACAATTTTAAAGGAGTTTCTTCTCTCTATCTGTGCGTGTGTCTAGAGCTCGATATTGCACATAAACCATAATAAGCGCGCTTTGCTTTGATGACAATTGTTTTGTGGAAGAGGAGAACCGTGTGAGCTGGGTCGGTGTTGTTGAGGAGGAGGAAGCTAAATGCTAGGGAACTATTTTATTAGCGCCACTCCCAACATACCAGTAATAAGATGTATTAAAACCCCATAATCTTATCTTCGAGTCACTGATATATATTCAATCCGTTTCTTTATTTGACTCCCCCTTTCCCTCCCCCGGTTTCTTGTTCCATGAAATGAGTATGAAAAGCAGTGTGTTTGTGTGTATGGTTATGTACAATAAATATTGCGCTCGCTCTAACGTCTCCTCTTTTTGCTATTTCTGGGTATTCTAGAAGGATTGGGATGAAATTGAAATTAGTCGTCTGTATACCAGAATGTTATTGGCTGTTATAAGGCGGAAGGATTAGGAAGGAGAAATAATTGGGAAAACTTAAGGTATCTTGCTAGTGCTTAAGCGAACGCTAAATATTAGTTCAGAGGGGTCGGTTCTATTGGTACTTAATTCATTTCCATCTTTATTGTAAGTTTTTCTGAAGTACTTCCCATATCAGTTTGGTTGCTTTGCAGTCGCCAATATTACGCTTATTTTGAAAGGTGGGGGCTCTGTGAGTACTAGACAATGCAATTTTCGTTGATACTAAGAGATCTGAAGTATCCAACTTGAGATTAGTCGTGTTGAAAGATGTCTATTTTCTAGGTAGACAATCACTTGACATATATTCCAACACTTTGCTTATAAAAATTGTTTGTGTGAAACTTTCATGAAATAATTTATCTATTGAATAAATAGAATAACGTTTTACTTGGAATTTGAATCGCTCTCAGGCAATTTGTCCCAATTAGACTAATGTTTCATTGTTTTCCACACAATAATACGAAATGGGGCCACGAATTTTTTAGATTGACATTAGTCAATTAGGGAATTCTTTCCCTGAGATTATTGAAAGCTTTAAGTTGTAGTTTGGCTTTTAATGAAAGTTATTGGAAGTAGACGTTAGTTTTCGTTTCCATTGGAGTTGTGATTGCAGAAGAAAAGGAATATCCAGATTGTTCGGGTTTGAAATTTGTAGTGACGGTGGTGCTCCCATCTGTAGGTTTTTACAAGCCAGAGAACATTTTTGTTTTCAAATGGTCAGGTATAGGAGGTACCTACCACTTACCCCTTTCATTTGGCGCTTTGAACATCTGGAAATCTCTATTGACGGTTGCTATTAAACTATAATATATACTTCAAACATTTCATGAGTCATTTCCAATGGGTTTGATGTCTAAAATTGCTCGTTTGGAACTATCTGATTTATTGATTTAAAGAGTAACGGGCAATCAAGTCAATTAAGATGTAAATTTTCTCATCTTTGACCTCCACTAGACCATTAGGGATTTAATCCCTTGACCCCAAAAATGAAATGCCTTCGGCCTGAATTTACGATAGGGGTAGCATTTGGACGAAGGTGAAGGTAATCAAAGCTTCACCATTTAAATGGCCTTTCGATCGTTAACTCCAGCTAAGTAAGGTATTTTTTTATTTGAGTGGGTATCCTCATGTTATGCAATTCCATGCTCCCACATCGATTTCAGTTGCTCACTGCGAAGCATTACTAACCCACCATTTACGTCATTCGAATAATTAATATAACTGTTTTAAACTCGTATCTTTCATTGCTTTTTAACGTTGTAAAATCAGACTTTTTTGGCATATATCAGACTTGAAATAGGTTTTTTGCAGAAGATAAATTCCTACCTACCGCAGGCAATTTATTGATTTCCTATAACCTAAGCAAAACAAACTGCGAATTGAGATCATCACAACGTTGAACTTACTAGCAAATTTTCACGCATTATTTAAAGTCTTAATATAGTGCGTGAATTTGAAGGTTTTTGAAACAAGAACACATAATTGAAACATGTGTAGCAGTGTGTCATGAATCGGGGCTAATGTAGCCATGTAATGAACAGAGTGGGTAGATCAATAGATCCAATTTCGTGCATTCAATTACAATCATGTGATCCAATGAGATTTTATCGGCGTATTTACGCTTAACTCGATTAATATCCAATTTGAATAAAAATGTTGAAGGGAAATAATCTGACTCCCTTTTAGCTTATCAGAATTCTGCGTACACTGAATGCTTGCCTTCCCGTATAATTTAAGTCATAAATTTATGCATGAGCTGTGGTTTTGACCTCATTTAAAGAAATCAAATTTTCTCAAGTTAGGTCGCACGCACCTCGTGACCTTATTCCTTTTCCTTAGTCATTAATGGAACAGTTTTATCACACAGCTTTTTATGTTCAGCTTGCTCGCTATGTTAGTAGGGAAGTGTTCGATCTAAAAAATCGTTATTTCAAGATCTTAAGTTGGCTTAAAGTCTGCTTATAGCTTATAAATAACGATATCTTAAATTCAAGTTACTAAAACGACACTAAAGTGCGAAACATATCGGAAAATAAAAAGCCTATCAAGTGTAAATAAATCGCGTTTGTTCGGGATTTTAACGTCGATTACTTGATAGGAACGTTAATAGATCTCTATTGCACTTGGCATTCCTGAAGTACACTGCCTGCCATGGTAATTAGGTGGTATTTTGTGCAAATGTGGACTTGTGCAAACTTACGTCACACAACGTTCTACTCGCTGGAGTACTGATGCCGAAAATGTTTGCATTGACGCTTTGTTATCCAAAACTATTTGCTCAGTTGATTTGCACATAGAAACCCATGGGTTTTGTGATTTTTTTTGTATTGCTTAGAAACTTTGGTAAATATGGCTTATAAACGTAGTTAACAAAATATTTTATAAAATGCATTTTAAAAAGGTATGTGCTATTCCCATTTATATTTTTTGTCCTTTATATGACTTTTCAAACTCGAAATTAATGCCAAAATTAAATAATTTATTTTGAATAATAATTTAAAAATGAATGGCTAAGTCGGATTATAAATGGTCAACGACTTGATTAAGTTTTTAAGGACAAGCATCCTTATTAGTTACCGAAATTAAAATGCAATTGCAGTTATAATAAACATTATTATTCATAGGCATATAAAAATTCAATTATTGAGTTATTTAAGCTTGAAAAAAAGATGAAAAATAGACCAATAAGGGGTAAAAGTAGGAGATTCAGTGAAGGGGTCAAAACATAGTCCAATTTCACTTAATTTTCATTTCTTGTTAGGTGGAAAGCATGAACTTCCAGATTTAACCTCGGAATTACCGAGTGATTTCGAACTTCCCTTATCCTATATTCCATGACCAATCGACTAATTCCGATTAATTTTCATATAAACCCATTGTTTTTGCCATCCCACAACGTAGATATCAGCCAAAAGACATGAAAAAAGCAGCAAAGAAGTCAGACATTTACTTGTGTTGAAGAAAGATGAAGGCTTTTTCCAAGCTTCAGAGACCAATTACAAGGAAACGTGCCTCTTCAAAAAGATGGCTCTAACATTTTGGAGTGAAAGTTATTAAAATAATCGTGGTTTTTATGGCAAAATCAATACGCTCATAGTTATTACGACAATTCACACTAAGGCAATTTTATTGGCGCTCCCTTGTGTTACGATCCTAACGATGGCAAACTGATTCAGTTTGTTAAAATTACTCTTTTCTTTGCCATTTTTCCCCATAAATCTACCACAATTCTCCCCATTCTGCTCCACATTCAATTATACGATCTTATTATTATTGTTATTGTTAATAATATTATTGACAGGAGTGTGCAGGAGGCAAACATTATTGACAATGGTATAGGAGGTACATATATGTGAACCAAGCAAAGGGAATAAGGTAATAAAATACCCCGAGTTAAATTTACTTACTTAAATCAAATGGTAGGGTTTACGGTAGTTATCATTATTACTTTAGTTGACTTCGGACTTCACGGAGGGGGGAGGGACAGAAAAGTCAGTCACAGATGTAAAATAGACATCCAGACACAAGGGTAGAGGAAAAGGTGAGGCAAGGTGGATACTATGAAAGTGGTGGGATATGACATTCAGTCGGGTTTTAGTAGTTTGAAGTCGGAAGTGAACTGCCGGTTTATATACATTTTTTACCGTATAAGTACGCATTACCCAGGGTGCGCCACATGGAGGTAAGTCTATCGCACACCCACTCGGGTTAAATAGAGTCTTAAATTATCCAATTAAGTCCGTTTAATTATATTTGTGTTCAAGCATAACGTGTTTGAACTGTCATAGCGTAGAAACATGAACATTCAAGAAGCGTTAAGCATAGAAACTTGCGTAGGCGATGCCTGTCTAACACTTCTGCTCTAATTTAAAGGTTGGTTCACTGAGTGTTTGCCAACAATAATGCTTATCTTTTCCACAAATGTGCAAAGATGCCCAGGAGTGCTTATTCCGTTTCCCTCTATACACTTTCATTTTCACCCATGCACTCACATGATCTCTGACATTGTATGGCAAGGCAAACCCGCGCTTGTCATTCATCTACTCGTACCCTTCTCCCTCCCTCCCCCCCCCCCCCCNCCCCCCCCCTCCTCTCCCCCCCCCCACGCCCTACCTCCCTCCAACACCTTCAATTCCTAATGGCGGTTTGTTCAATATTTGTTGGCCTATACAGCTCTCACCCGCTCTCTCTATCTCTCTCTCTCTCCCTGTTTTAGTTTCTGGAACAGTCGTGTATTGATGCATGCTGATAAATTTAAATTTCACATCTACAAACTGCCTCTAATTAATGAATTCATTTCACTTTGGTAACCATAGCAAAATGGTGAGCCTCGGTTGCCAAGTTTATCATACGCTGCATCAAACTAACTGCCCCTCTTTTCTATATAATTTTAGGCTAGCTACATTTGGCT